CCTGGAAAAAGATTACCTACCACCGCTGAACGAAAGAAGGGAAGAGGCAACTAGTCGAGAAGTTGATAGGTTTATGAACGATCCAAACCATCCCTGTCGCAGTGTTTTGCCAAAATTAATTAACAATCGGTACAATTTAAGGAACATTGACCGGAATCGCAATATATCATTCTTCTCAGGAACTGAAAGGCATAAACATTCTTTTTCAGGAAGAGCTTGTAAATATGTATAAATAATTTTAACTTATTGGAAGAACTTATTAGTTTAAAGAACTTATTAGTTTTAACTTCTTAGTTAGTTTTCTAAGTTATCTTACAACAATTTGTAATATAAAGACATACCCACAGCATATATACTTTCTTAAACAAGTAATTGTAAGTCCATTGTACTTTTTTATCTTAAGATGGATGAATAAAGCTATTATTATTAAAAAAAAAAAAAAAAAAAAAATTTTAAATTATATTTCAGAACGGTCACCTCTTATACATATACAAAATTATGATGATCATTATGGTTGGACGTAAGCTGTGCATATTTATTTCAAGACTAGATTCAGTCACCCTGGATTTTTCACAAACAGAAAGTAGTACTTGTTTATTAGTACTTGTTTGAAGTTTTCAGACGTGAAATGAACGTGAATGATTTATTTGCTGAGACTTTGAATTTTGAATTTATTAAAATATAGACTATGCAACCATAGTAAAAGTTGAAGCACGCCTTTCATTTACATGGTTGGTTGATTAGAAAAATATATGTATATTTACACGAGCGTAATTACAATAATATAAGAAGAGTTTAGAACTTCTAGTAAAATATTACCATTATTTGCAGATAAAAATGTATGTAATTTATAAGCTACTCAATGCATGTTTATTGCCCATCGTTACAGAGGGGTGAATGAACGAATTTTTAAAGCGGTTTGCCTACAGTTAATTGGGGCGAGTTTATTCGATGCGCATAGATTGTAGCTGGGATGTTCTGCCGGTTCAACTACAAGTTCGAACAGAGTATTATACGCCTGTATTCTAAAAGTTCACTTGCACACTCACACTCAATGAGTCATGAGTGAAGATTCAATCTGAGCTTCCCTTGAGTGTCAATGCTGTTTTTGAATAGCTGGAAGGCTAGTGTCGTACCTTACTACACGCGTAAAAATTGAGAAAATCGACAACTTGTTCTAGGTTGATATAAACAGGCGTGAACAAGGTTGTGCGGCCCACTATGAACAGTGTTACAGTATTGTCAACATGTTGTTACAGCATTGTTCAACTGTAACAACTTGGAACAACATGGTTGACAACTTGTTCATAGTTGGCCGCACGACATTGTTCACGCCTGTCGATATCAAGGGTGCGTAGTAGCGAAGTAGTTGTGAGTTCGCTACTGTAGCGAACTACAATTTGCAAGTAGCCAGTAGTTTTTGACTACTTTTTTAAAACAGTAGCTGTAATTATAGCGAACTACATTTTGCCTAAAAGTAGCCAAGTAGTTGACTACTTTTCAAACAGCAAATCGCTATTCGCTACTTTTTAAAATTGTTAGCAACTTGATAGAATAGCATGATATTGAGACACGGTTTGCTTAAAATCAATACTCAATTTGCACTCTTGAACACTGTAGTGCTTACAAAAATGTTGCTTTGTGTTTACTGTTGCTACTCGTAAGTCGATTTATTATAGATTACATTTCAACCTGAGTTAGTAGATGCTCCAAATACACGGTAAAACTAAAAAATAAAGCGTAGCGAAATAGCGAAATAGTGCGCTACAGTTTTTAAGCAGTATAGCTGTAATCAGTAGCGAACTACCTTTGTTCAAAAGTAGCAGCAGTAGTAGTTGTAATGATCAATATTGTAATTCTTCCAAAAGTGACAAGAAACTAGGAGGGGGGGGGGGGTTAAAATTTCTTTATATATTAATTTGACGTGTTATATTATTAGTTTATTACGCACATGCTTTGTTAATCTCGTAAACATTTCATCTATGGCATAAAATAGACCAAATCTGTGGCATATAGATCACCAAAAGGCCATGCCAAATATGCGCGTGGGGGCGTTTCGCTAACCTTAAAATTGAAAAATTAGAACAGTACTTTTATGTATTTGGCACTTTAGACCCCCCATTCGTATGGGGCTGGCTACGCCGCTGGCTGAGTAAATTTTTTTGAAGTAGCTGTACTTATAACGAACTACAAAATGTTGTAGTCAACCCACCCTTGGTCGATATCAACTTGGAACAACCTGTTCGTTTTTAGCCGTGTATGTGACTACTCACCGTACAGCTATTCAAAAACAGCATTGACACTCAACTCCACTCATTGAGTGTGCATGAGTGAACTTTTAGAATACATGCGTTAGTTTTCGACAGGGACGTCGCTATAGGGGGATGTGTGGGGGGGGGGGTGTAACACCCCCACAATAATTCAAACGTTGGTCAAAGTTGGTCAAAATGGAAGTGATATTTGCCCAAAGTCGGTCAAAATGGAACCGATATTTGCTTAAAATTGAAGGTAAAACTGGGAAAAATTTGGGACTAGTTTGGGATAAACGATGGTCGAAGTTGCCCAAAGTTATGATGAATGGTTCGCAATTTTAACAATTTTAAAGCTTTTGTTACGTTTGCGATGAAAAATTGGAAGTTTTGCTCATCTTGGTCGAAATATTTAGAATTTGCTTATGTTAGTCCGGAAAAATTTTTTTGACAATGCTTATGTTAGTCCTGAAAATTTTTTTTGACTATGCTTATGTTAGTCCTGAAAATTTTTTTTGACTATGCTTATTAACGTCCGGAAAATTTTTTCGACCTCAGCCCCCCCCCACGTCGACAACATTTTCAGGAAAAAAATTTACGACTTGGTCAAAATCCTACTAAATGTTGGTTAAAACATGACGACACCCCCAAAAAACCTTTCTCTTAAAAAGAACCTTTCTTCTAGTAAAAACTTGTAAAAACCACGAAGAAAAAGTTTAAAAATAGTGGCGCGAGTTGGATTCGATCCGCAAGCTAGTGCATATATGCAACGGGGGCGCCTAAACCACAACACTACCGAGGATTTGCTTGAAATTCCAATAAATTTACGCGTTTTTATTTTTAACGAGTTTAATTTTAAATTATTAATGATTATGGAAATGTCGGACCAATAACCACTTCCCATATTAATTTGACAAGATGTGGTTTACTTTTTTCGGCATCTGCTAATTTTGACCTGTAGTAAAACTACTTTTGCGTCTTGTCGGCGTTTTCTTTGCCTCTTGCTGCTGTGCGCATGGAATCATAAATACTTTATTCTTTTATTTTCAGTTCATAAGTACACTTTATAAGTATATTTTCCTTTTTTATTTTTGAGTCTTAAATACACTGACCTGATCTGATTTTGTGTTTTTGATGTCCTTAATTAGGATCAAATTATGTGAGTTATAGCACGACTTTTCAACTGGCAATGTTTTGAGCGCAGATATCGAGTAGCGGCAGTACGCAATCATAGCGCTTTTTCAGCGAAATTCAAATATACAATGCGCGCATACATGAAATCGATCATCATTCATCGTATAGAGGTGGACTCAAAATGGCTAATTGTCTTATAACCGATATATGCATGACACAACCTTAATTCGTCGAATATAGACTATATGAGCAAGTGCCATCTAATTGAGGATTTGGTTGCCTCCCGCCTGGTCATCTTGCTACTCACCAGGTTGGCTACTCACTTGATTTTACCTCTCATCATAAAGCGACGATATTATTTAGTTGCGCGCACAGCTTTATAATTTATTATGTATTGGCATCAAGATATATGGAGATATTACATTCTGCAACATACATATTACTAAGTCTAAGCCAAGGTCTGCTTTTGCTAACTGATTTTATTCTCACCAATTAAATTATCGCATGCAGAACAATATGTTGCATAAGTATACAAACTACTATGTTTAATATAGACGGAATGTCTGGTTATACAGATCGAGAGCCAATTAATTTGGACGCATTAGCCTTATGTACGAGATATAAATTCTATATTGTGAACCCTTCTATGGTATAGTAAATGGTATATCGGATTATCTGATAATTCCAGGATTCCAAGATTCCAGATTCCATGTTTTACAACTTACCAACAAAGGTGGGATCTCGCCTAACCTGATCAGCTCGTCCCATATAAACAGCCCCTGGCACAATTCAGTAGCAAACCGTCAACAGAATTCATGGGATTTGTAAACTTTTTAACATTGAAGAATGTTGTTTTAACTCCTTTGGCCATTAATTTCACTTGATCGATTAGTTTAATTACCAAAACTGGCAAAACATAACAACTAGATCGTGCTGACATGCATGCATAATCAACTGATCTCATAAGATTCGCAATGCAAGTCGTTAGCGAGCCAATTAAATTCATAAAAACGTCATTTCACTCATTTGGACACCGCATTTGGCGTTTTTCCGCGTTTGACGTCATTGTAAGAAAGGTCTATCGAATTTAGCTGTACATATTATACAATTTATGAGTGTTTCAATCGGATATCATAACGTACTGGCTCAATGTATGGCAAAGCACCGCGATACGTCTTCTGCAGGGACACTATTTTTCGTATAAGCTCGTATATCAGTTTGCAAACCACAAATCAATGCCATTAAATGCAATACAAGTTAGAATTATAGTAAAATTTAAAAGAAGAAGAAAAAGAAGAAGAAACATTTAAATATGTTTGATGAGAAACCAGGATTATTCATATTGAGTATAGACTAATCTACCCGTTGAAGACTGCCGTAGACTAACAGTCGAAAGCTTGTGAAAAATAAATATTTTAACCAGAGAACGTCTATACTCAATAAGAAGAAAACACTAACAGTCTTATTGATTAATGCAAGACTTTTATTTATGCAGATTTCTTTAAATGATAGACAAACTATATGATCTAAATCTACCGAAGATATGGAATACTTTACTTGACCAATCGGTGACAATCACCAAAATCCGTAATACCGATGAATTATTGCCATTGGTGTTTAGTGTAAATAATACACTTCAACTTCAGTAGGAGTAAACTGATAGGTGCCAGCCAGGAGCTCCTTTGATTTTTTCTGACCACCGTAGTAACCGGGGGGACCTGAAAAACTCCAAGCAAAATATGTCAAGGAATCTTTATTTTTATTGGCGTTATTTTGAATAAACAAATCGTGACCAGCGCCAAAACTTGGGCCAAAGCGGGCAACAGCATGGACGGCGTAAATGGTGTTTCTGTACCACAAGTAAGATCTGAATGGGCGCAAGTTGTCCTTGTTTCTTAAGGAGAACATGAATGTGTTTGGAGCTCTTTTGTAGACATATTTACCTATAGTTAAAGAGAAAATAAATCGTTTCATTAAAATCAATATTAAATATAAAAATCTTCCTAAACCCTAATACTAATGTAATGCCCAATATTTTATGAGCAAATCATAAAGAAAATGTCTAACACATTGATTTCGCGATAACTGTTCATGCTCAAATGTAAGCAGGAAGTTTTGAATTTCAAGGATTTTTTAATAATTTAATTCGAAATTAGGCTTACTGACATTGACATTGCAATGCTTATAATACCATTCCTTTGTGAAGATGACTAAAATATAGTCGTAACGTAAAAGAAATGAATTAGAATGTTTATAATTGATCTTTCTTCAAATTGTGAATAATCATAATTGGCTCGATCGGCTCATGTAAAAAACAGAAAATCAAATTTACTGCAGAACGACTCTTTTCAGTTCATTTTCACTCTTCGAATTTACAGTGTAGATAATATAAAATATCGGCTTATTTCAGTTGAAATTGAGAAGCGTATACTCATTTTCTAGCTTGCTGAATCAGACTTAAAATTAACATGGTCGAGTGCATGTATAACCATTAAAACCAATTAACCCGCAGTACACTACAAATATTAATCTTTGTTAGTGGCGAAACTTTACCCGTATTTGGAAGTAACCTTGCAGGTGATTTTGAGTCAATGCTAAACTGAGTAACCTCACCTGCCCAAGAAACATCAGTATATCCGCCGAAGATGTACCGACCAACTTGAACAATGGTAACTGTCGGACCTTTGTTGTCGCAGCCTGCATGAAAACGACTTGCAGCCCAGCCATCGCGACTTGCACGCCAGCAAATATCCCAAACACCTGTTCCTGGTAACCATTTTGCTAACTGCCGACGGAAACCGCTTTCTCCAGACAGTATTTTTGAGTCACAGAAGTCATCTAGATAAGGAAGCGGGCTACTTCGTGATGTTGAAGAAAGACATGAAGAAATTCAGGAAAAGCATCTCCGGTTAATGAAACTGAGTTAAATGTAACTGCTTTATTACTTATTTAAATCATTCTTTCAATAATAATCAGAATTAAAATTACTTACCAGCCTTTGCTGCTGCAGAGAACGTCAACTTCACAGCTAAAGTGCAGACAAAAATCGCAACCAGTTTTAAAAACATGATTTTCGGAGCAATATTTCTGCCAATAATCTAAAACAAAAATTATAATCATGCAAAGTATGTGATCAAAGCTGCATTATATCGAAGTGTGACATATACTAGCTATGTTAAATTACTGTCTTTACTCGCTATTCTTTGTAAAGCGTCAAGTGTTTATATATTTTTCAGATATATAGTTCCATTTTTCAACCAAATATTGAATATCGTTCAACAGGCTTTTCAAATAATGTTGAAATCTTGTTTTATTAGACGTACACTTTTCTATCAATCATATATCAATAGCTTCTGACACAAATCAGTATATTGGGATTATAGAAAAAAATACGAATATATGGTATATAAGCTACTACACCTTATTCCAAACTTTGTAGTTCTTATGACAAAATTCTGATCGCTGAACACTGACTTTCCTCTATCCTTTCTGCTGCCAATATGATTTGCTTGTACTCATATTAAGCATTTTGGTCCACCCTGACCGGAAATACTGGTTTCAGCTCATATCTCAAGGAATACGCTGTTCAACAAATTTAGATTTATTTATTTATAAAATCAAATTTTAAATGACATGCAGAGGACTATACTGCAAGGTCAAGGATATGAATGATCCACAATAAAGGGATGTTTAAATATTTCAAGCTATCTTGCTTCAACATAGTTGTAGTTTTGACTATTTTGTGGTACCTTTTCACGAACTGTAGACTTCAGCATGGTATCAGGGTATATGAGGTGGTTGTCTGATGCATGAGTCATTTAACTTTCCTTGTCAGTTAACGGTCAGTCACCGAGCCAGGTGGTGAGGAATAATGATCTGATAGATGTCCCCGGCTTTTAGAACATTTATTTAATATAAATTTAAAATTTATGTTTTTCTGTTATATTTAGGACTGAACCTTTATTCCAGGACTGCACTTAGTAACACATGATAACAACACTGCAGATAATTAGCTGCATTTACAATGTAGAATGCAGTTTGTCAGAATTTCTTCATGTAGAACCCAGGCCTAATCATACCAAGTCAAAGAAACAAGAACTAATTTGCTTGAGAGGTCCAATAAACCAACTTCTACTTTTATAAACCAGACATACTGTACAGACATACAATGTAATGAAGACCGAATACCATAACAATGTGGTGCCTGTTTATTGTTTTTCTAGTGCCTGTTACTACTGTCACATTGTGTATTAAACAATTTCCTAACCACTTGGAACTAAGTGAAATTTGATTGACGTGTACATCCTCTTTCCCAGGTCTTCTCGGCCTACTTCAAGTCATCGACGTGCAGTGTTGTAATCTAATATGCTGTAGGATGTCTTATAGTATTGGTTCACAGCCCCCACTCGAAAATTTGAAACGGTTTATCTTTCGGGCTGTGAGCAGGCTAGCATATATGTAAATCCACATTTTCTTAATCGGCGTACATGTTATAGTTCAAATTCGAGAAGTTCATTGCTTTGGTTTTGTAGGAGATAAACTAGTTTGCCAGAAAATAAAGGTAGTCAAATTTTTATCCAGTTTATGTTCAGTTGTGTTCAACACAACCTGTAAAATACTCCCCCCCCCCCTTCCACTAGTTTATCGAGTCTGTTCAATGTATCATGTATCATAATTTAAATACTCACATTTTTTTATATAGATCAACCGTGTACACAGACCCTCGTGCGTGGTTGCTCCTGCCATAGGAGGACATAACTTACTTTTCTTACTTTTATTGGAAGTGCCGCATGGGATTTGGAGTCCCGTTCGCACTTTCCCCATTTGGGTTCTTTTATTGTTATTATTTTTGTTATTATTAGTGTATCTTTGTCTAATTATTTGTTAGTATAATTATTAATTGTAAATATAGTTGCTAATAATTCAATAGAGTTCTTTAAAAAAATATCATTGCCGAACGCGGTAAAACCAGATCATCGGGTCAGCACACTTTAATCGTGCATGTTAATCAATCTTAATACACGCTTCCGGAAAGAATTAACGACGTCGTCTAGGCCATAGAGCCTCGTTTTAGTGATTGTTTAACTAATGTCGCGCACACGAAAATGAGGCCCGCTAGCCAAAGTGACGTACTTTCCGGAAGGGTGTATTATAATACGTTTTGACAGCTCTATACAAATTAATGGCTACTACTAAAAAGCGATGCAGCGATAGAGGGACCGGATCCTGGAACTCAGGAACCGCGCCAAGTTATGGAAATTATCGCACTTAATCGCAGGAGGAGACATTAGCGATCATAATAATTTTCAGGAGGGGGGAATTTTCAGAACCTTTAAAAACTAAAAATCAAAAAGGGATTCGACAGTGTTCATGCATGTAAGACTATCATACCTAAACTGTAAAACGTTTTTAGATCCCTGAGGCCGGTTGTATATAAAAATTCTCCTCGGAACTAAATGAATTGCTTAATTGGAAAATTTACCTTGAAAACCGGAGGAGGCGACCGTGCCAGGCTTATTTTCCCTTTTATATGTATATGCTTATTTATATTTATATGTATTAGACGCCATTTCTCGCATTCTTAAAATTGCTTTACTTTTCATAAGATACAGAATAAATTTGAGAAGAAATAGTAATGCTGTGCAAATCTAAACTAAACCTTTCTCCTTGGAACCATATATACAAACGCTTTAATGAGATTTTACACATCAAGCTCCTCCAGTATAGTAAATCGTCGTTGTCCTAAGCTTCGAGAATTTAACGTGTATTCCCCCTCCCCCAATTTCTGTACGGATTTAAACTTTTTGAGAGAATATGGTTTTTGTGCCACTGATTGTATTCTTAGCGGCTTCATTGGAGTCGTTTTGATTGTGTTTCATTCCAAACTTCACAACAGTAATCAAAGTATGGGTGAACAATAGGCATAGCGTTATACATATCGGAATGAGAACTTTGTCAACAAAATGTTTGACACCACGAAGACTCCTGCTGTAATTTTTTGTCAGCGTTCATGAGCATTATCATCAAAAAGGTCATCAAAAGGCTGGACTTGTTGTGCTAATTATGAAGTGAAATGGTGGCCAAAATATTCAGATGGTCGCGTCAAGTCCTCAATTATCAACTTGACTCAGCGACCTATCGAATGAAAGTGACGTGTCGAAAGTGACGTCGCGACGGGTGACTAACTTGTCACTCGTCGTGTTGTGACTCTTAGATCGACTCCTCGTGTGATCAATTTTCGGCTGGTTCCCACATTTATCCCTCGCAATTGAAATATTTGTATTTGTTTAATGTTATGGTTACAATATATACACTTGATGTCTGCTCCAGAGCCGAGGGAAATACATGTAGTTTGTTTTGTTTTCCCGAGAGTCTCAAATCGTAGTTTCTAATTGTGCTAGTTGTGCCGCCATTTTGTTTATTTATGTACGTAGCCGGTCGGGGCGCGCAACCATTTTTCACTTGTTGCCCGACGAGATGCATTGCATTTATCTGAAGTCACGTGACCACAAATCAGCCAATCACGTTTGGTGTTCACTCTAGCTATATAACAATGTATATTAGTTATTAGAATTTTTTTGAATTTTTTATTTTTGGTTCGCCCTAATGGTCCAAAGATCATCGTCCAGTCACTATAATCAGCATTTAATGCATGTAGTTGTAAAACGCGGGCTGAGTCCGGACTTGGAGTGTGAACACGGACTCACTCCGTCCATATTTTTCATATCAAATCATGGCCTCAATCCATGTTTTACAAATCTCACTCCATATTTTGCTTGTCCAGTACATTTCATGTTCTAGAACATGTCAAACCACGAAACAAATTACAGTTTCGATTCGACGAGTCTAGACGACGAGTCCCCGAAGAGTCGCTACAACGAGTCAACTGGGACGACACACAGTCGAGGACACGACGAGTAGAATATACTCTCCCCATGCCATATATTTATCCCAAAGTTTGAGTCAACCTTTGACAAGATCATGATATCGCCTTGATATAGGTTAGGCCTAAGGCACAGAATAAAGACATACAGAAGTGTATCTTCTTATTAAAAGTGCGTAAGGGATTTTTTCAGTCCGCCATGTTCTTAGCAAGTGCCCTAAAGAGAGGCAGTCACCTCCCTGAAAACATATTGAAAATTTAATATTCCAGGGGGGTGAATGCCTCTCTTTAGGGCACTTGCTAAGAACATGGCCGCCAGCTATTTCGGTAAAAAGCGCCTTACGGTTTTGTAATGGAAGTTACACTTCTGTATGTCTTTATTCTGTGACACAAGTAAGTATGGTGACGACAGATATTAACAGTAAATTTTTCTGGCGCGTTGCATTGTGGTCGTGCTCAGCTGTTGTGCGCAGTACACATCCTGTCCCACCCACTGAACTATATAACATGGAAGTCTGACTCGAGCTCAAAAAGTGAAGCCAACATGGCGGAATTTGAAGGCATTCTTGCGCGTCATTCTCAGTCCCCTTACGTGCGCGGTCAACAAAACTTTTATATTTTT